TTGAAGTATCGATTCCGGGGAGAAAAATTTCCTGGCGCGGTGGACGAAGCAATTGGCGCAATGTATTTGTTCCATCTCAGGTCAGCAGTCAACGTGAGACCGATCAGACGCAGGGAGTTGCTCCCAAGAAGTTGACTATCAGACGTTCTAATGGGGGGTGGGGGCAGGAAAGGATCTCTATGGTGATTAATAGAGAGTAGTTTTGTTTTTTCAGGCGTTAAAGTTGACCAGCCAATTCTTGCCCCAATTAGCAACCGATTGGAGGTCCATTTCAAGACGCACGGCCAGGTTAGTTTTGTCACCGACACTAGATTTGTTTTTGAGGCAGGAGTAAATTGTAGTGTCATCCGCGTAGATGCCAACTTGGGAATCTATGGCGTCAGCTAGCATATATTTTTTGAGAAGGTATACTGTATCAGAGGGAATTGACTCGGTTTGTTAATTTACACGTCCTCTTCAAACTGATTTGCAATGAAAGATCATAATCGGATATGTTTGTTAATCTCCCTATCCAGGAGACATTCTGAATGTAAAATACGGCTTCTACTTTCAGGCACTTGTATTGACTCCTCGGTGAAAAATTGAACGCAAACTGATTTTCTCTTTTCGACCAATTCTTGAGTCTAACAAAAATAATCAACACTGAACTCAATTCTAGCACATGTGTCAACCAATGAGAAAGGAAGAAAAATTTATGAATAAATTGCGAATCTTAAAATAAAATCTACTAATGTCATTAGTCGAGATTTTACTTTGGATACCATGAATGAGTATCAACTGTTTCAACTGTAAAAGTTGTTTTTATATTTTTATTACCCTATCGTCGTTGAAAATACTTTTGGTGCAATCATATTACGATTTTGAAATGACACCCAAATAGATGCTGGTAACTTCGATCCAAGGCAATTTATTTGATTGTTCTGGTTAAGGCATCCATGGAAGATTTTGAACAGTTATCACACGTCAGAAAAGAAAAAAAAATGGTTAAAATGTATTTTTACATGAAAAAGACTGAAACTTGTTTGAATCATTCAAAACATTTCAAAAAGGAAATGTTTTAATATTGAATGTCTAGGTATTTAGCCATCAAAAGTCTTTTTTGGACACACGATTTTGTTGCAGAAGCGATTTATATTTAGAAAGGTTTTAAATACTCAGCTATTACAGGATGATAATTAGATTTCCTCTGACATGCATACAACGATTGAGATCTATGTAAAAATGACATGTCTCTTCGGAACGTAGGTGATCATGGTTCTCCACATCGTCCTTTTTTATTTTATTATCTGTGAACTTTCATGCCTTCTTGAGAAAAATAGTGAAGTAGTTCCTCGTTGCTTTCTCCGCAGTATGTAATTCTGAGATTCCTTTCTCTTAGACTAGTTATAATCCAATGCTCGAGAATTCAGATCTGCAGCTGGGGAAGAAGAAATGGGTTCATGCCTTTCATAAAATCATTAGTCTGAAAGTTAACGAAACAAATTAGAACAAAATTTGAACTCAGGTATTTGAATGCTTTTTGCTCACTGATAACAACCATATTGCTCACCTATTCCCTCCATTCTAAATAACTGTTGTTGGATATGGGGGCTGGCGAGTAGCATCAAATGTTAAATAATAGTTTCAGACTATTATTTTTAATGGCAGTGTATTCTGACATTCTGAGGCAGACCTTAGGGTCTGCTAGTAGACAAAATAGTGATGTCGATTTTGATTGTCTGAGCCAAACGTGGGGCTGTTAGAGTTAGAAAGTGTTTTCTGGGAGTTAAGTTTTACTCGAAGAGATTAGATGTGGTTATTTCGTATCTCGGGGAACTTGCTCCACAGTGGGAGTGATAGAGCGGCCCCACTGGCTAGTTTAAAATGTACACGTCGACGTGTTAAAAAAATAGGTGAGTTTTCAAATTCTTTTTGTTGAAATTCTCATTTTACCCCCGAATAAATCAACTGGCTATCATCCGGGCGAAAGATGACAGAGGGAAGAATTCAACATATGAGTGAATCAAGACGGTTCCCCCAAGACCTTCCCAGAATGAGGGGGTGTATGCAAAATAAAGCCTCTTCCGCTAATGTTTTACTAGCATATTTAACTTGTGACTATTAGTAAAATTCAGGAACATCAGTGAAAATACAAAACGTAGAACATATTTGCTTTCTTAATTTTCTTTATCATTATTATATAAACATATCCCTACGTGACGCTCGCTTTGGAAGATGTCGAAGATTTTGCCTTCCAGATAGAGCGACACACTGGCGGGCATTCCAGTTACTAACTGAATGTAGTTTCCTTGTATCTTGATCAGGTGCAAATATCCTCGAATTATCTGTGCAAGAAACACTTTAAAAATTTTATTATTATTTCTTAAACGCGACAACAGACGATTACTCGTCAAACTGGGCATGCGTAATACTCATTGCTTTAACGCTGTGGGCAATCAACAGCGTCATTATTGATGAGATTACACCAGTCTCTGTTGCTTAAAATATCGAATCTTGTCAATGCTGCCATTGCTGAAAGAAAAATTATTGAGCAGCGATAATTAAGGAGATTTGTGAGACAACCTGCATAGAACAGATTAAGAAATGGAAAACATTACAACAAATGTTTACTTACAAATGAATGTAGTATTTTTACTTGTCAATCTGGAATAGGGATGAAAATATACACTAGGTCAGAAGTGAAGAAACATCTAATTAGATTTCGGTGTAACTTCTGAAATTATATATCTTTATTTTTTTATGATTTTACGATTAAAAACTGTATACTGATTTTTAGAGAATCCGTGAGTATTTTCGATTCGAATTTAACTCTTTAAACTTAGCCAATATAAAAACAAAAATCAAAATTGTTGGAAGATATTTGACTTAATTTAATTTTTCATATTCATTTGTGATTATTTTACTTTATTTCATACCAGAAATTTAAAGAAACTATTTCGAAACAAAGGCATAAGTATGGTAAGGTACAAATAAGATTTTTACAATCTGTTGTTAATTGTGAAAAGAAATGTCTTGTTAATTTAAATGTCTCCAAAGTAAAACTGTTCTCTTTTAATATTTTGAGATAACTTTTTTTTAAAAATCCATTTAAAGAAGTGTTGTTAAATCCAACCAACGACGTTCGGCTGTTTAATTTTTTGTTTTATTTTATAAAATTTTTAGAATTCATTGTCTGACATGGGGTGAAAAGATTGTTTAAAGTTTATGTTTTGGTTCTGATTTGCTTGAGTACTTTCGGTCGTTTCAGTCATTATGAAGAACTACATTTTGTCAGGAGACAATAGTTTCTCGGCTGCCAACTGGCATCTTCAAAATGCAACATTTACGCGCTTAATAAATATACAGATTTTAAAATGCCGTCTCCTTTGGTGAAATATGCATGACATTTAGACATTTTATTCACATTTTTTACAGATGTGCATCGACTTATTCTAGAATTGAAAAAATACAATCCAAAATTAAATTTTTGTTGAAGTCAATGGAACTTGTTTATATCTGGATCAAAACCCGACAAAATTATAGGACAAGGAACAAATGGAAAACGGTTATAAATTTAACATTTTGTTAAATTCAACCAAAAAGGTATATCTAAGTTATTATTTTATTTTCGAATTGTCGAAGAAGTTACTGTTCAAAATCAAAATTGCGAATGAAACGATTATGTTATTTCTCTGTTTTTGTCCGATTAGTTTCTACCACATTAGCCATTATGAAGAAAATTAAATTGTAACCGTAAGGTAGACACGATTTTATTGGCTACAGTTTGAAACAGAGGGACAATTTATTCGACAATTAGTAAAATACAAAATTCAAACAAGTAGACTTTGTCGGATGAGTTTAACAAAACTATTTTAAAATGAGTTCTTGCTGTCTATTATTAATGGCTGTTTTAATTAGACATTATTTCTCATTGCTACAAAAGTTATTTTAGTGAGTACAATTAGTTGAGTTGACATTACGTTTTTTTTTTTCGAAACAATGATATTAATATCAATCAGCCTACAGCATCGAAAGATTTATTAAATGAAATGTACCTGGTACATTTTCTTAATTTGTTAATTATGAAACAATAGTTTTAAAGGATTCACTTAATGAGCCACATCATTTGCTAAAGGGTCTTTCACGAGATGCATTGTAATTTTAGTTTAGTGTTACTTCAGATTAAGACAAAACTCCCTATTTAGGCTTTGGTCAGATGCGTTGGTAAGATGCGTTGGTCAGATGTACATATTGTCACAAACATCTATCTGTTTAGCCTACTGCTGAAGAATATGAAAAACAAAAATAGAATCGGAACGAAATCCCAAAACTGCTTTTCACCTTTTAAACTGGGAAATATATCAATTTAATAGTCCTCAATTTTGTATGATAATTTATTATTTCATTGATCATTAAAATTATTAAATTTAATATTATTTAATAAATAATAACTTATTTCATAAATCCCAATTTTATCTCCCTATATAGTCTATCCTTTCATTTATCACTTTTTAAGACTCAATTTGCCTGATCAGCAGGTATTCGGCTCCAAGATAAGGAATAATTATAACAATCCCTTATGGGTGCAGTTAATAACAAGGCGTCACACGCTTTTTTGTTTGCACATAGAAAAGAAATAACTTATTGTTGAGTTCTTTATCACATATGGTTTCGATTATAGAACTAAAATAAATAAATGACTTAGTATGACTTTTTTATCATTTGGAATGCAAATAAATAACATCAAAACAACACCAGGAAATAACGAATGGATTGTGTATCATTACAAGCAGTGTTTTTTTTTCTGCATTCAAAAAAATGGAGAAAAAATGCAATTTGTACTTTGCAAGGCTTTTGTCAAAGCCAAAGGACAATGGCGTCAAATCTTTGTGAAGACAATTGGAAAATCGATTTACGCTTTGTTGCTGTTTGTACGTATTTAAATGAAAGAAATCACGAAATACTTATGTATATATATTTCAATTCATATTTCTATTTTATTCCATTTATATAATTTTTAGTTTATTTCTGCCCTTCCCTGTCTCTCTCTCTCTTTATCTATCTATCTATCTATCTATCTATCTATCTATCTATCTATCTATCTATCTATCTATCTGTGCAAACAAATGCTTACATATAAATGCCTTATGTGTTACCGAGCCCGTGTGTGTACAAGTATGTGTTTGCAAGAACACTAAATGATATATATATAGCATTTGATTCTTATACAAATATCGAAGAGGAAAAGTAAGACAATACCAAATGTTGTTAACAAGTTTGATAAAATTGTGAAAGATTTAACTAAAGCTGATATCCGATGAAAAAAATACTGTATACTGAAATCCGAGAATGGCGAAATCAGAACGAATTTTCTTTTATTCTACTTATTAAAAAATAATTGTAAGTATAAAGTTATATGCACTGAATTTTTCCTTCTGGTGTGTAACAAAAATCCAAATTGGCAAATCTATTTCTTAAACAACAGTTAAATTTAATAATTTGTTTAATTTTACGGATAGATTTCAATACGAATTTATATTAAATAGTATTGAAGACTGACAATATATACAAGTGCATTGTGGATTTATAATCTATGCTACAGCATTTCTTAGCAAACGCAATTCAATCCGTGCCTAAATGGTCTAATTCCTGATTTTATGCGAGTAATATATAAAGCTATAACTTTGCAATTAATATGTAAATTCTTTTTATCTTCCAAAGATTACATTGATTCGCCGAAAAGCGGTGGTCTTTACTTCTGCACATGACAGAATACAAGAATGAAATAGATTCGAGTTAACATGTATGCTAAAGAAGAAGAAGCATTCTATTTACATCTATGAGCCAAAGGAACGGAATAAACAAGCTGAAATTCTTCTTTGAGCATCTATAAAGCACATTAGCATATATCAACCTGCAGGCGCTTCTGTATACACATGTCGAACTATACGAGAAACGCGTACGTAAATGAAATGAATAGGAAAACATTAAAAAATTGTATGCATCTTCGATCGTGTTTCAGGCATTGGACGAGATTCAAAGTTTTGTAAACGATTTCTTTTGCATTTCATTCTCATGTTCAAAGTACTTTCAAATAATGGAAATCAAAGTTTATCAGTTTTCGTGTTGCAAGAGATTAAAGGTTATCTGACTTTCACCCCAACACGAAAGGCAATTCCTCGACTATGTCTGATGATATTATTTCATATTTCATGGATGGAGCTTTGAAATAATTTATCTGTCGTCAGTTTTCACAACAATTTCCCTGTTGATGCTAATATTTAAGTATTTACGAGGATTGCCGAAAAGTAATCAGCCCTACCCACTTTCTCATTTTATTTTGGAAGGGTTTCTTGGTCGAACTGAAAACTTTTAAGAAACCACACACACAGTCGGTAAGATTGTCAGTCAAAACTCTCTCTCTCTCTCTCTCTCTATATATATATATATATATATATATATATATATATATATAATTTCTTATTCTAAAATGAAAGAAATGAAACGGATGACACTGGTCATTTACTACTACTACTTTTTTACGTGGCGTGTATCTTAAGGATGTGATTAATCATGGCTCTCCCAAACTTCCTATCCTTTGTAGCGCTGGGTAATATCTGTCTCTTTATTATCCCTCCCAGACCCTGTTCTACCATCCCTTTACTGAAGGTCGATACGTAGATTACTTGCCGTTACATCGTCTTGCCTTCGATCTTTCCTGTGAGCGTCAAATTTCCTAAGCCTTATTTTCTCGTTATGTGTCCTAGAAATTTCAAATGTCAAATCTCTTATACTAAGCAGAAGTATCCTTTTTATTTTCATTTTCTTAAAAACTTCCTCGTTTCTCACATGCTTCTATGGTATTCTCAACATCTTTTTGCAAAATCACATCTCTGTTGTTTCAATTTTCCAATGCATAAGTAAGTACATGCACATTATGTAGAAGGAATAAATAAGGTTTACAGCACAATGGCTAACGCCAAGTCTCAATGTCAATCGCAGAAAATTACTATTATTGTTAGATATCTAAATCAGGCATGGACAACCTTCACTGAGCGCAGTGAACCGCATAATTTTTGACTCTTCACAAGGTGAACCGCATTACTAAAATGGTTCAAATTAATTTTTCGTATTAGTGGATAGCGGCTCGGATAGCGGAAGTGGCTCGGATTGGGGAATCGGAGAGCCGAGTTCGAATTCAAGTTGAATTCATTATATTCAATTACGTGCTAGTACACTTGGGAAAGGTATTAATCCTCTTCTTCCTCGAGCAGTTATGGGTAAATAAATAGCAGGACAAACCGTGTTCTATAGCCTTTTATGGCAACTGGTCTACCGTAGAAAGAAATGGCAACCTACTGTAGGAAAAAAAATCTGCCTCGTCAGTCATATATCAAAAGATACATGATCGCCTAAGCGTGTATCACGACTGGATGACCTCAGTTAGTATCATTACAGAAGACCATCTGCGTAAGCATTTACCCTAGAAAAGTTGATTTCTTCTTCTTTGGAGAAATGATTTTTCTATAATAATAAAATTATAGAGTTTTTTTATATTTTCACTTATGAGTGATTAACACATGTCGCCTCGTGAGATTTATTTCTAACTAGCAGTAAAGCCCTGCGTGGTCATAACCGCCATACTCATTTTGTACACGCATGTAAGGCTGAAGTCTAGTAGAACTGATGGCCGCCCATGTAAAAAACCTAATGTACACAAGTTGTCGGTATTCATCAGCACAACGGAAGAAAAAATTGTAAGGCTTAAAAAGAAGCAATGGACAGCCATGGTAGCATCAGCCGTCTGCCATTACTAAGACAACTCCAATTAAAAGTTGTCAAGTTCAGTAAGAACACGGGCCTTAAAGTTTTGGGTGAGTTGTGGCAGATGGCTTTGTATTCCGATGGGATGGTTTTATTATCCCTGAGTGCAAGACATTACATTAAGCCCTGTGTCAGTTGCAACGTAGTAAAACGCAATAGCGTGAAAGATAGACGCGTCATTTGCCCAAAAGACGCCGTTGCCACTACCGAAAACAGAACCACATAACAGAAGTATGCGAAGGTGCTTGTAAGTGGCAAAAATGTCTTTAGGCGAGCATGAAGCGTACGTGGAGTTACCTAAAGCAGCCTTTATGGTAAGGGGAGAAACACACCAACAGTGTACGACAGAGAATGCATATTATAAATCGGCACGCTGTTATTCTTTTATTATCTCACTTTTTTTTGCTGAGGCCTGAATTGCGTGGACGCACTCGACTTCTCTGACAATTAAACGAATCCACCTTCCCACGTATTGGTTTTGTGTTGCAACTGAATATGGTTACGTGGTCGACATGTAAGTGCGAATGCAGCTATGGCGGGGTTTAAGTGATAAGGGAGCATCTGGTGAGCAAGACAACCTTTAATGAAATGTCTTAGTAATGGCAAGTGGATACTACGACGACATTTAAATAAACCGGATTCTAAAATGAAGGAACCTACGATGCAGCCGACATAAAGATGTGTACATTGCGTTTAAATGTGACCGACCATGGGCTATAGGACTTCCGCGTAGGTAATATTTTTAGCTTTGTTTGTTGGAGAGTAAACGATATTCTTACTCCCGACTCGGGAACAGCCTACGTAAAGCTGTCCATGGGCGAAACACTGTTCACCTAAATGCAGACCGGCGACGCTGAGCGTCAGTCCTTGCGATTTGGCCATTGTTGTTCTCCGTACCCTAAGGCTTTTGGAATTCCTCAAACGACGATTAGCGGTCTGCACTGGACTTTCTAAAGCTCTGACAGACGCAGTAGCGCTGGCATTTCTTAAACGACGAATAGCGGTTTGTTGAGGTCGTTCCGAAACTCTGGAAGGTGCCGTAGCCTTAGACGACGCGAAGTGGTTTGTTCAGGGCTTTCTAAAGCCCTAGAACATGATGTAGCGCTGGCATTCCTTAAACGCCGAAGGATTTTCTGTGTTGGGGACACGGAAGCCCTGGCCCTAGAAACGCATATTGCGTCCTGTGACGCTCTTCAGTTGAAAATCTAGCGCGTCGTGATGACATAACGGATGCTACTGAGGCCAGCCTTTCAGTCCGTTCAGCGGTACTTTCTGTGGAGATGCGGGCAGCAGGGCGTGAGGCTATCTGAGAAAGGCGCAACGAAGTTTGCTCTGTGGTTTCAGTTGCCCTTGCTGCTCTTGTAGCGGAGGCAGCAGCCGTGCGCCTTCCAAAAAGTTTTCTTCTCTTAGGCGACATTTTAACCAATTTTAAAAAGGCAAACGTAATAAAAGGTATGTAGGTTTTTTGAGTGCCAAAAAATACGTGTAGTCAAAACGTAGGCAGGTTAGAGGGATCCCAAAAATGTATGTAACTGTATCAAAAGGGGATCGAAGACAAAAAAAGTGTAGTTTAAAAAATTCAGCTAAGGCTAAAATGGTAGTAGGTAATTTGGGAAGTAAATTCCATAAACGCGGAAACGGATGTAGTTATGAATAAGAAGTAAAAAACAGTTTGGATGCGTAATCAACAACTTTCAGTTTCCGTAAGAAGCGAATGAAGTGAGCCAAATGCGGGACAGTAATCGCAGAAGTGTGAACACGCGTGTGAGTTAGGGTATAAAGAGGCGGTTGCCCGGTTGACCTTGAGCGCACATACTAAGGTGACGTACGTACGCGCGTATGTTTGGATGGTCCCAAATTTAAACGCTTGCAACCGTGCCAATGAGCTCGCAGCAACCTTGAATAGTTGACGTGATTAGCTAACATCCTGCTGGGTTAGTCAAAGCAGTGCAGAGTGGCGGATGACGTTTCAAAATAGTATCTCGCGACTTTATTGTATCGGGTTTTTTATTGATAAATATGAAAGTTATGTAGTTCCTTATCCCATAATAGACATTGCCTTTTTGAATTACGTCGTCACCGATAGAGCGCAGTCTCTCAAAGCCAGCCAATCAGAAAATGGGATTTTTAAGCTTCATTTTTCTTTGAAAATTTTGAGCAGTCAGGAGGTATGAGGTAGTTTTATTGATCAAGAGTTAAAAATACAAGCGTTTGTACACTTCTTACGAACAAAATTTGAAGCAATGTTAATTTCGTTTACTAATGGATGATGAAGGCATTTAAGTAGCACGAATTTAGATGAAAACGTGCGAGAACTTTTGGGGGCAGCGATGTGCAGTAGTAAAATTATAGTGAGTAGGCGCCTTTTGCTACACGTAAACGGCATGAAAAGACATAACAGTCCCCCAGTGTCACTTCGAATGAAAAAATGCAATCAAATGTGAAAAATTAGACAATTGGCGGGGAGCCGATTCTGTCCAATTGGCTTAAAAGTAGTAGCGTGAAGTGGCATGAAATGTGTTAGTGATTGCTCACTGAATTCAATCCTATGCTTTAGTAGGCTAAATGGGCTACAAATACCTATAAAGCAGCAGTTTCATCTTTTTTTCCTGATTTCTCGGGTAAAATCTGACTTGTAGATATGTAAATCCCTTTTAAAATGGCCTTGACGTTTACTTTACTGTGCAAATGCAGAAAACATGGAAAGTAATGCATGACTGCATTGAAACATTAAAAGATCCCTTTTAAAAACCATGGTATGATTGTTAAATCCTGAAATAAAAGTAGGCTATCTGAAACCTTTTGGGATGCTTGATGCGCGCACGCGTGACACCCCCCACCGCCACGTTCACACATGATCTCGCATGACCCCGGAGCGTGAATGGGCCAATCAGCAGCAAGCATTACGCATTGCGCGAGCTATGCGTGACTAATATCACTAATCCGATTGACTCTTGGAGCGCAAAGTTCAGCTGCGACAGAAATCCTTCATTGTGATAACTTTTGCATCCGAAACCAAAATATGGCCATTCTTGTCCTTGCTTATTATCATATAAGCACTTAAATCTAACTTTTTTGCTAATTATGCTACCGCTATTAATTCTGACATGAAAAGTACCCATGTCTGCTTGTGTGCAGTGAACGCACATAATTACACACGCGTGCGTCCGATGAAAAATCGATAATATTGATTTAAATATTGACTTAAATCAATTTTTGGCGCCATCAAAACCTCCGCAGGACCATTAGCAGTAACTGTGTCTAATTTGGTTGAAATCGGTTGAAAAATGTAGGAGATCCGATCAAACATATAAACAAACACACAAACACACACAAACACACATATACACACACACATTCTGCCTTTTATATATGTATAGATTATTCTTTTGCAAATAAAAAAGGATATTTCCTCTCCAGAGAAAAAGAAACTATTATGAATGTTTCCTGTTTCAGAAGCAAAATATGTTTACACGGATGATCTTCCTTAGTAAAAAAAATCACCAATTATTTAGAATAATGAACACGTTACTTTTATCGAAAGTTTACAAAATTTAACAAACATTGTATGGAATCACTGCTTATATATGTGAGAGTATGAGTGAACAATTGAGAACAAAGTAAAAAGTAATGTTATTTTCTTTATGAAATTAAGCGTGCCATTCAGAAATATCAAACGGGCTGCAGTTATCCCATGACGGATCTAAATACTAGAGTAGAAAACGAAAGAGGCAGTGAAATAATCAAACTAGGATCTCGTAGCGATCCCGGAGGGGGTGCTGAGAAAATTGGTTCAATTGGGTAGAAAAAATCACCAATAACTGATTTCAAGTGTATTCAAGATGCTTGTGAAGGTCTAGAAGGAGATGCAAAGAATTAGACTGACTACGTAAGAGTTAATAAAAGTTTCGTAAAACCACCTGTGAGAGCGACCACCTTCCTTATGGGAATAAAAAAGGACAAGAAAACTCCGACAAAAATACGGAAATTGAAGAAAATCAAAGCAACGCTAAATTACAAGACGACTCATAATGCAAAGTGATGTCTACTGACAAAGTTAAAAGATATCGGATATAAGAGCATCCCAATGAAAGAGATACGATAAAAAAGAAGGGGATTCTAGATTAAATTTTCGAGATGATGAGAAATGAACAGTAAATAATGTCAAGCAATGTTATAGAATATGGAACATTAAACACCAACATTAGAAACAAATGCAAGCAAGCAAAAGATGAGTGACTCAACGAAAAAAATACTAAGACAGAAAGAAAGAATAAGCGGTATAGATTCCAGCAGGTAAGCAAAACAAAATAAATAACAGAACAAAAAAGATGCTCATCGAGAGAAAGTCGAAAGAAGGAAAGCTCAAAAGACAGAAAAATAGTGCACAGATGGCCAAATACATCGTAGAAATGTTCCAGTACAGTATGTGCGTAATAGTAATTAGCAGCGTAAAAGAAAACTAAATAGATTTCATTTGTTTCTGGTCTATTAACAACAAAAAAGTACTATCCTGCTGGAGATTTTAGAATCACACAAATGTAGTAACTGTAAGCCGCAAGAATAATGCATGACGTCAGTTTTCAAAAAAAAAAACGAATATCTAAATGACGTTCAGAACTCGACATCATGGCTAATCTGTCCTGATCTCGACCAATAACTACAAGGGTTGCTATCTTAAACATCAAGCAAACCAAAAATGATACCCCGTAATAAGAACAGAATGAGAAAGAGAGATCAACTGATAAAATTGAATTTGTAATGAGAGTGACCGGGGAAACCGGTTGATAATTTTTGCTTGACGAAATTCTCAATACGAAAGAGAAAGATGTAAACAAAGAAATACACATTATGTACATTATTCGGACTATTGTTCTCATCTTTGTCACCATATTGGAATGTCGAACTGAACCCTTTATTTCGCTCAGTGGGGGAGAGTTCCACGTTCAATGGATGTCAGTTATCAGTTATGCTCCTGTTAATTCCCCTCTCCAAGTTCTCCACTGCATTAACCGGGTATTGAACTCACTCTCTTTTGGGTCCTGTTATTGGATCTAACTAATACCTTTATCCACTGTGCCATGTGTCCTTGACGAGATCTGAGCATGGATTTCTAGGTATTATAAACCTAATGTCTTTAGCAAACATTTTTTTACCAGTGCTCATATTGCAATTTTTGCTGTTATCATTTTATGTTTTTACGAGAGCTCATATTGCAATTTTTGTTATTATCGCTTTTCTCTGGCACTCCTTATTACTGGTTCCCATGTGCTGATTCCTTAAGTTTACAAATTTTCCAATCGTGTTCTTTGTCTATGATCTCAACCTGATCCCACAGAGGGAGGTGATCTCCCTTCTCTCTCCATATCTGGTCAGCCACGCCTGATTTTTCCACTTCCCCTCGTGTTACAACTTTCTGGTGTTCTTGAAGCCTTACCTTAAGGGGGCGGCCTGTCTCCCCTTTATATTTCTTTCCACAGCTGCACGGGATAGCGTACACACAGTCTTTAGTCATGTTCTCCTCTATGAGTGGGGGTCTTACTCGGGAGAGATATCTGCGAAGTGTCGTCAAGCTTTTGAAGGTTGTCCTGATGTTATATGAACCGCAGATCCTTTGTATTTTCTTTGATAACCTCTTCACAATTGGCAGGCAGACTGTTTTCTGAGTTTTGTTGTCCTCTTTTTGTACCCGCCTATCCCAGTTTTGGGGTGCTGCTCCCATGTACCCAGGGTAGTTGTTACATTGTAGGGTACTACTTATACTGACCAATTCTAATGTCTCTGGGTCGCCATTTATGATTTTTGCAGCGGAAGATCCCTTTCTTTACGCTGTATGGATGGTGGGAGAATGTCGGTTTATGGTATACGGATGTCTTGAACCCATGCTCTGTTCGAGATATTAGAACATCCAGGAATGGGAGTGTGTTGTTACTCTCTTTCTCCATTGTGAACTGTATCGAAGGTCTTATTGAGTTCACATGGTCCAGTAGAACCCGAACATCTTCCTGGTGTGGCCAGAGTATGAAGGTGTCATCTACGTACTATAACCATATAGACATAAAGAAACATATATAGACATACAAACACGGAGACACGCAAACAAACATACAGGTGGCAAGTACTTTCAAATTTTGAAAGGGTGCATATTGCAGAGTTGAATGTTATTGTATCAAACCTATAATAAAAAAAATTCTTTCTGCATATTGGGGCAAGCAATTGATGTTTATTTATTAAAAGGTAATATAAAATATATATAAAGTTAATAAAAAAGACGAAGTTCCATTCGAAGATATTTGTTTATTAATTTCCA